TCGTGAACTTAATTTACTACCGAGATGTACTCTTAGTGTAGGCTAAAGATATGTCAAAATAACCTAGCATGCTATTTTTTTTCTTTTTTTTTGTTGGAACATGTGAATATAAAGATGGCAAACGACCATTTCCGTCTTATTAAAGCTTACAAAAAAAATAAGGTGGAGTAGGGCAGACATAATTAAGAGTGTAAGCATAAAACCTTGGTAAGTCTCACATAAAACTGAGGTCGGGGCAGAGCAGCCCGCATGCACTGCATTTTTTAAGTTTAAAAATGTAACAAATTATGTTAATGTCCGCGTCCGCAATAGCCCGAAAAAAAATCTAGGCAGGATAGAGCTGACACATTAGAAGATACATGTTTAAAATCTTGACCCTCTTCGTATAAAATATTGACAAAACGAACACGTCCGACAGGTTAGGCCCATTTTTCCACCTTATGTGGATATGAGAGATATTGGAAGGGAGAATTTTATAAGTACCTTTCGTTTTTTGATTTATTTCCTTTTGTTTTTACATCCTCTTTCTCTTTTTGATTTTCAATTAATTCCTTCTTTTATCAGCTTCTTTTTCTCCGTCTTGCTTGTAATGATATCATTGCAATGCTCATTCAAATTTGCTTGAATTTTGGGGTGAAAGTGATTCATTGTTGATAAGCTAGTTGTCTTGCTGATACGTCCTACACGCACTTTCAAATTTTTTGTTAAGACATTGGTTTGATTTTGATTGGCAATAAACATTTGTATAAATTAATTAAGAATGTCCTTCAGTTTTGATGTTTTGAGGATGACTCTGATTATAATTTGGCTATGTTCGTTGTGTGATGCATGAATGTGCATCTCTGCCTTACTATTGTTTTTACAATCTCATAATCAAACATTAATTCATCCTCCAGAGTTTTCCCCAGCATAAACAAATTTTTGCAGCATAACTAAATGAATTACAAATATAAAAAAGATTTTAAAATAATAATATCTAAATGCATGAAGCATAAAAAATAATGTTTTTATATTGTATTCATAAAACTTGTGTGATAATTTTAGAGAATTTATTATTGCACTCTAATATATCATATAAATTTTTTCAAATGCTCTCTGTTTTCGGAGATATATTCAATAAAGGTTATTTTAGATTATGTCCGTTTTTTGTTTAATTTATTTCAGAGATGCATTTCCGGAATAATTCCGTAGTTATATTTTCTAAACTACACCAATATCAGATTTAACAGAAAAATAATTTTCTAAAATAAAATTGACATTCATAACATAAAATAAGTATTACAATGATGACTTCAACATAAAAAGCAATATTACATTTCAATATCCCGGTGAGCGCTTCCAACTTGAGCGGAATTTTTTCTTCAAAACGGAAATACGTATTCCACATGGCCCTTACATCTTCTTGTGTCTTAAACTCAAATTTGTTGAACTCAATCTGCCATTTGTCGTCAATCGACGGTGAACGGTACTCGAGCTTCACAATCTTTTTATTGTCTTCGTAAGGTTAACCGAATATCTCTATCTTGACCGAATGGAAAGTATTACAGGAAAGATTTTTGAAAGTCGGTGACAACATGAAACTCCGCATCAAAAAATAATTGAGGAAGATTGCTTATTCGGAAACCATCGACTTGAAACCACTCTCTTAACTGGTGAAAACAAAAGGTGTTCCGAAGAAACTCAAACCTACACTCAATAACAATTTGACGACACAGTCTTCTTCATATTTTGAACATGTTGACAAAGTTTTTTCGGACTCAACAACTCCAAAAACTCAAAAAAATATTGTCAAAGGAGCTCGCATTAGCAAACCATCTCTTTCGCTGCCTCCGCCAAAGATTCCATTAATTGACGAGATGTCGATTTTTATCGAATGGATCGTCAATGTTGAGAGAGACAGTAATTGCGGTTATCGAACTGTTTTGTCTTTACTCGGTAAAAGAGAAGATAATCGCACACTTGTCCATCACCAACTTATTCAAGAGTTGAGGACTCATAAAGAATCATACGCATAACTATACAAAAAGAAAGAACGCTTTGATGAAGTTTATAAGTCTATTGTTCCTTGCCATAATGGACCGGCACTGGAGGCAAAATGGATCACCCCATATGATAGAGTGTGTTTAATGTTGCACAATATAGTTTTTCGGAAACCTTTTTTCCACTGCATACCGCCCCAACTCAAAATCCAAATGATTGTATTATGTGTATTGGGTGACTTTCAAAATCACGACATTTTGTTCAAGTTTACTTAAAACTGGGATGCCCTATATCACTTACATCACTCGAGTGGATGACTCATTCAACAACAAAAGTCGAGACTTGGCCAAACCATTTTGTGGAAAGGATGCAAGAGTTCGAGAAATTGAGCAACATTGAAAGAGAATCAAATGCTCAAAAGTCAAAGGGGGTTCCACCCATAGATTTTGTCGGCGACATATATTTTGATTCGTTTTAATTTCTTATTTAGCTTGACAAATAAGGGTATGTAATTGTGTCTCAATATTAATGAAGTGTAATATATTCAATTTCTTAATATTTTAATTTTTTTATCTTTCCAATAACATTTGTTCATTTGTCAAACAAACTCTTCAAATAAGTTCTATTTTCAAAGGTATTGTTTTTTGTTTGGTTCATGAGAAGTTCAAGAGATGTATCTCCAGAACAAGATAATAGGGTGTGGAACCGGAGATATATATCTAGAGTCAGCAATGTCAGATTTTGAATGGTCCACATTTGTTTACAACTTCTATAAATTAAGATGCTCTTGTTTTTTATTTCGCACAAATAAAAAATGCCTCAAATGTCACAAATAAACAGCATCTGGTATGCCACAAATGTCTCTTTCTCCAGCGCGACACTTGGGCGAAAGTTTAAGCTCATCGAGTACATCTCTCTTGCAGATCTGAAATACAAAGTCCATAATCTCCTATCTTACGGAGACAATCGAAAAATTGTCAAGCTCGAGTACCGTTTACCGTCGATTGACAATAGAAAGAAGATTGAGTTTAGCAACTTTGAGCTCAAGACATATGCAAATGTAATGGCTACGTGGAATACATATTTTGTTTTGAAACAAAAGTTCCATTCGTGTTGCATGCGACGATTTCAAGATCGGTCAGAGATATTGTGAAGATGTTGAAGTGTCCACCAGAATATTGAAGTGTAATGTTGTATTTTATGTTGAAATCACATATGTAATGTTTATTTTGTGTTATGAATATTAATTTAATTTTTTCAAATCGCTAGTTTTTTGCTTCTGCCTCTGGCAGTGATTTGCATACGTTGCAAAAATGCATTTATGAAAATATATTGGAGATGCAACTCTGATATTAAAAAAACCAAATAATAAAGCATCACTCAAAATAGTCTCTGTTGTGTGTGCAATTCAGATATGCGTCTCCGAAATATGATAAGACATTTTAGTATTTTCACATGATACATAAGTAACATAGAGTGCATTAAAAAATCCTAGAATTCTATTAGACGTTTTCACATATGGTCTTTTTGGCCCCATAAATACAAACTCTAAAAGAGATTCTATTATTTACTCCTTGTGTCCCAAATTATAAGTCACTTTTTAAAAATAATTTGTCTTAAATTGTAAGTCATCTTACTTTACCAATGCAATAATTTGTCTTTTCTATAAAATAATAATTAAGTTTTTTAATTTATATGAAATGTCCGAAACGTTTTATAATTTGGGACAGATATAATATGTTGTTTTACTTATTAAAAAAAAGCATTAAATTGTTTTATTTTAGTCAATTTTATCTTATTTTTGTTATATTCAATATTTTTTATGATTGATATTACATATTAATAGTCTATTTAATATTTAATTATTTCATGTTTTCCATGCTTAAAGACAAAATCAAAGGAGTAAGAAAAAGAAAAATTTGACAATGAAATCCTTTGCTCTCCATGGAACTCTTTGCTATCAAGAGCTGATATTGTGAATAAAATCTTCCTAAAAACAGCTAGCATTTTCCAGTGCTAATGAAATTCAAGTAGCAAAGGGATGTCAGGGTCTTAACTCTCAATTGTCCCTCCAAAATTCCTGTAAATAATAAGGGAGCAATTAATAGTTTTGCTGGAATGTACTACATTAGAGCCGGGTATACGTGCAGAAGCTCGACCGTTTAGGCACGCGAACTAAACGACAAGGCCGAAAAGTATGCCCTAGCCTGCAACATTTTAAGTTTTAACTGCAGGTCGAGTAGCGAATAAATGAACTTGTGGGAAACAAGATATAAATACTCCCCTAACAGTCGATATTCAACCTTATGGCATCATACCTGAGGTTATTTCTACTCATGTCAGCAAAACTTCATAAGCCTTTTATTGATTACTATATATTTACACATTAAGAAAGCAAACAATTGTTTCAAGGTTGATCTCAGCAGTTAACTAGTCTGTTCTACCATAACACAACATAAAGATAACCAAAAAAGAAACTATAATAAACAGAAATCATCATACATCAAGTTAGCCTAAAGGATAATCACTTAAAGAAATTAGAGATGAATCCCAATAAAATTGTGTGGTTAAAAGCATGTATTAACTGTTTGTACAGGATTTTGAGTTCCAACTTTTGTGACTAATAATAATACATGAACTGTTAGCTTACAGAGGAACAGTACAAAAAAAAGGGAAAAACAAAAGAATTTCAAATGTGATTTGCTATAAAAAAATACTCTTGAACTAATATTGAATGTAAGGCCCTAACCAACCTAGAGAAAATTTTCAAGCTATGATCGAAGAAAAACTCAACTTCTAATAATCAAAATCGTTACGCGTATCCTACCGTGTATATATCTCTTACCGTAGAGGGAGCCGAGCACAACATCAAAGAAGGAATCAATGCCATATAGCAGATGTTTGCTTCGATGTTTGTTGACATCTCACCATGCAACCAGCCAACTCTCTACGGCGTAGCTTCCTGTTTAACGCTCGGTGTAACTATAGAAATTTTGTTTCGAACACAAGCACAGTATGCTTTAGAGCTTTTGATGAGATTCTATAAGCAATGCATTGAACATAACATGAAGTTCAGCTTCATAAACAGCGTCATCATAATGCATTCCATCATCTGTACATTTGATTCCACAATTCAAACTCAATGATCCTATATCAAGTAGTTGAAATGGACCACCAAACTCCCTCAATATACTACTTTTACGCACCTCCCTCTCATACTCACCTTGCATTTCATCACTCATCCTCTCCCTCTTCTTTTGTGTATTCAACATAGAGTTTATCAAAGTCGGCATGCCTAACCAAAACAAATGCGGGGATCTAGCTGACGATACAGAACCAATCGCAGGTGCATCATTGCCAAATTTGGGCGAAACAGGCAACATAGATGTCACGGAATTCCTTAACAACCTCAACAAGACACCGTAATCAGACGCATTTATAACGTGTAGCATGTGCCATAAACCAGAACCCATCACCAAAACATCAGGATACAAATGTTTCTGCTTAAACTCCATAACTACATTAGTCAAATTATTAGGATAAGGTGCCCAAATAAAATCCAATTTCAAACCCATCTCATCAACAACAATGTGATAATCACTATGCCTTTTAAACAAAAAACTCTTGGCCGATTCGACCCTCTTCGAATCCAAAACCAAACTCAACAAAGAAAGTGTAAAGATTCTAGCTTGTGAATCCCCTGCAACCATAACCCAAGACCCATTAAGCAAATCCAAAACATCATTTCTCTTTAGCCTCTGAAACTCACATGATTCAACAGAATTCATTCTACTCCAAGACCAAAATTTGTCATAGTTCAAGGAATTGTTATTCAAAAAAGGGTCAAAAACCTTACTTGGCAGAACCTCCCAAGCAATTTCATGAAGCAAAGAAACACACGAATCACGATCTTTAACAACAACAACATCATCAACAGAAGACGATTTAGCAGATGTAATGAAATCAGAAACAGAAGGAAAATAAGGAGTTAGATGAACACCAACTGCAAGAGTAATGAAAAGTGCACCACTAAAAAAGAGAACTTTGTTGCGACTCAAGTGCCAACCTGCCATACCCATTGGAACAAACAACACAACACACGCTGCAAATAACCCCAACTGAATAGCACCAAACATTGTTCGAATTTTCCCTTCTCAAAACTTCACATCTACACAAATCAAAAACGGGTTTTTAGGGTGTTGATTTTTTAGACTGAGATCTGAAGAAAAATTGAAACTTTTCTTCACCCAGGAAAAAGGGGTGACAGTGAAAGTTGGTGGGGTGATTTATTTCAATGGATTGTGAATGAAGGTTAAAAAAAACCGCTTTTTTGGGAGAAAACTAGGTGATTGTTGGGGTGGTGATGGGAACGTGATAACAAGAGAAGAAAGATTGAATTGAAAAAAGGAAAATGCGAAAGAATGAAGAATTGTTTACTTACAAGTTATACAATTGAATACAACACAAAGCCAATTCGAATCAAAATCGGTGGCCAATGATTATCAATGTTGTGTGTCATGTTGCATCTCGCTTATTTTGTCTCACTTCAATATTTATTAATTTTATCTCTTATTTTTCTAACTTTAACATTAGATTGTGCCAAAGAAAACTTTAATTTATAGATTTTTTTTTTCTTTTATAATTCTAATTTTTGACTAAAATTCTATTTTTTTAAATGAGAAAATCAAGAGACAAATTAACTACTTTGTCATCTATGACTAATTTATAAGATATCATTGCGACATTGCTTCGACAATAAATTCGCACGACGATTCGCTTCATGATAAATATGCTCAAACTTAATCTCTTCAAAACTATTGTTAAGGCGCTGATTCATCAAATTATAACCAATTTGAGGCACCATGTCAGACACTTGCAGCATAACAATCATCGTATTATTGTCGACTTGGATCTTAAGTTTCTTGGCACCTTTGTGCAGATCTAGTTGAAGGTCTACTAAAACACCCCCAAAGTTCTGCATGGACATTATTGTTTTTGCCAAGATGTTTAGCAAAGCCCCTAACCCAATTACCAAAGTTGTTGCGTAAAAGGCTCTCAAAACTCGCCGAACCATCTTGTTGAATAGTCCCAACAGCATTCAGACAAATCCAATCTCCCTTATGAAGCCTCCATTGAACCAGAAAAAAGAAAGAAGTAGAGGGAACCAATTGCTGTTTTAATTTTTTGTACATACCATACTAATGTAAGATATCAGTGATACCTTTAACAATATTGGTTGGCATAAAGAAGTTGGGTTTATGAATCCTTTGATTTTGCCAAAACTAGATAGTATGACATGCAAAAGCCCAAATCGACCCCCAAACATTATGCCTAACATTATGATTGTTTTGTGAATTAGTTTGGAGTCAATCCTCTATCTCAACTTGGAAAAAACTCTACTTATCAGTGTTACTAACAAGTTGCGCCTACACCTGTTTAGCAATGAAGCAATCTCTCAAAGCATGGACAATAGTTTCCTCATGATTTTTGCATGCATCACAATAGGCATGTCTCAATTGAAAACGCCTGAGATACTTATTTGTGATTATGCCATTATGAAATAATTTCCAATCTGCTTCGAGACCTGAAGCTTCTAAATGTCATCCCAACCATTCATATTATTGTTCATATATATGTTGACAAAAGGAGAAAGTTGTTTATACATGAAAGCTATAGTGAAAGACCCACTATCAAATCCACCCTAAGTACTAATATCAATCACCCCAGAATTAAGAATAAAGTGTCATACTCTAATTTTTACCCCTAAGATTCCACCTATCATATCCATTTGCATCTCATTGCAATCACAAACATGGATTCTCCTAACTCTCATTTCTAGGGTTTTACCCTTGTGTAGGAGGTCACTAAGCACTCTTGTTGTTGCTTTTTTACTTTTATATTGTTTATATTTACTAACCCTATTCAAAATTCAAAAATATGTGATGTTGTTTTCATTTTCTTGTTGTCAGAGCTCAGGTGTTGCAAAGGAGAATTATGGTTTAGTCAAGGTTATCAAGGCAAGTATGTGTGCAGTGATGATTAAGATTCAATTGAGTTTGACATAATCTTGGTCAAACAAGAAGTGTGCTTCATTATCGAGTTATCAAGGTTGTGTCAAGTTCATAATGATGCATGGTTGAAGATCATCAAGGATCTAGTTCATCTTTCGCTTAGGGTTTTTAGCAATACAGTCCATATCTCAGGTCATAACCCTCTGAGTTCAAGGCATTTTCTTACTCATTTGGTTCATAATGAAAGATTTGGTTATCACTATTCAAGTGAAAAAGTTCAAATGGTTATTTATTCAAGGCTTCAATCCATTCAAAATTCAAGATTCATTTTGATTCAAAGTTCTAATTCATTCAAGTTCGGAATGAATTTATGCTTAAATTTATTTCTCAAGACTTATTCAGGATTTCATTTCAATTGAGAATTCTAAAAATAGTGAAATTTGGTTTATGAATTTTTTGGATCACACATGAAGTTCAAGTTTTAATCAAGAATAAAAGTTTTAAAATTCTCATGACTAAATTTTTCAAGCAAAAATTCAAGAATAATGTGGAGGTGCATACAATCCTTGCTAAGTCCAAATTACAAGTCCAATTCAAAAGTTATATCCCAAAAGCCCATCATCAATTACAAATAATTGCAACCAAAAAAAAATAATGAAGGTAAGCCCATGAAATACAAAGCACATCCCATCTTCATCAAGTCTTCCTCAAGTTGTTTCCACAAGCTGCACAAGACATTCCAAACCTTCCAAAATGTGACTACAACCAAGACAATGCCAAGCTAATACAAGATAATTTACTTTAAGCAAGCTGCAAGTTCACACGTCCAAGACTTACAAAACAAGCTACTTCCAACCAAGCTCCATGAGCTACCACTTCATGAAGCCATTTCCAAGCTGCAATCACACATGAAACATAACAAGCCACGGTGAAAACGACTTCACCAAATGCTTCAGCTGCTACTAAACGACATAAAAACTTCATAAAATGCTTGCAAGCTAGCATTTCAAAACGACGTGAATTCGTAAACGGCAGCAAGTTCACAACCACTTTCAAATCACAAAACTCACCTTCAATTTCTCCTATAAATAGAACCTTCCTCACTTTTTTTATCAAGCTATTCCTAGCCAAGAAAACTTTGCTCAAATCCCTCCAACTTTCATTCATCTTCACCTCCAATTCTTCATCCTTCAAGCTCCATCGCAGCTTCACCTAAATCTTCAACAACCTTCATATTCATACAAAACCAACTCACTTACTGCAAATCATTTACAAACCAAATCCAAACAAGAATCACAAATCAATTCACCGCGCATCAGTTTCACAACAATGAAACTGCAATGATTCCGCAAAACTCACACGCATCGTAACAACAACAACAATACGGAACAAATCCAGGCAAATTGCAGAAGAAGAAGAAGTAAGTAAAGAGCGAGCATCATTTTCCCCTTGTTGTATGTTTTGTTAAGTATTGTTTCGATTGTGGTGGTCGAGCAGAGCTTTGGAGTGTTTGTGTATTTGAGGATAGAAGTGGGAAATAAGCTTGATGATGTAGAAAATATGATGCTACGTGAGCTCCATCGTCGCCGGCGCGGCGGAGCAATTGAAGTTTACGACGCAATATTGAGAGAGAAATAGGGGAACCGCTTGGAGAAGAAGGAAGGAATAATGCTGATATTTTTTATTTCTTTTTTTTAATCTTTCTACCATGTATTGGGCTTTTGTGAGTCCATTCTAATTTCTTCAAACACCCTTTCCCTATGCGCCATTCTCCCTCACTCTCTTTTTTTTTAATTTCTTTTTTTTCTTTTGTGTTTTTTTCATATATTTTTTAACTATCTTATTTTTTTCTACTTTGGTCTTTTATTTTAATCACACTTGATCTATTTATTTTTTATATTTTTATTTCATCTTGTTTTCTTTTTTCCTTTAGGTTGATGAGATGTTAAGGATCGTAAAATAATGATTCTCAAAGATGTTGAATCTTAATTATTTTAAACATGTGGTTGAATGATAATTTGAATCATTCTCTACACTTTGGGATAGTGATAGGTTGTCTTTGATAAATCATCAAAATTCTTGATCAAGATGAAATCGTTCTCTTTTTTCTTTTTGTGTGACATGACTTTAGGAGAATGATCTACGTATCATTTCTCTAGCATGTTTTAACACAAATATTGTTATTGACTGACTTCCCATAGTATGATCTTCCTAATAGATTGTGCTACGATTTCTTAACATAGTGTTAAATTGGTCCCGAATCGATAAATCAATCACTTGATTGATAACTACTAACAATTAACTCCTAACTTGTAACATTTATCTTATTGCCTTTACATTTCTGCAATTTAATTATTGTCATTTAATTTTTGCTATTTACTTTACCGCTCTTTATCATTTCCACATTTATTTCATGTCATTTTCTTTCTTCTTTGATCTTTATTTCTTCATCTTATTAAAAAACAGAAAAACATGATAAAATGATTCAAAACCTTAAAGAAACTCTTAATATTGGACTATGGTTATTATCCTGTGCATTGAGGAGTTTTTGACCTATGGACTTAGAATTAGGGGTTCCCTTGCTTGGAGTTTTCTTATCTAAAACTTGGAAGTTCCTTATCTAAAACTTGAAAGTTCATTTGATATTTTTCCTTGCATGAGACCTTGAGTTCATCTGATACATATGGCCTTGAATCAAGTTGGGATGCTTTATCTGTTTCTCTGTGACTTTATTTGTCAGGGTCCTCTTATGTTCATCTGCTCAGTTGCTTATCTTGTGGCTTTAATCCAAAGGGAATGGAATGTTGGTTTTGACTCTTCTAAAATGCTTGCTTATCTTTGTTAATTCACTTGCGCACACAAATGATTTCTCTTGGGCTACCTAACAACGAGACCATTTATTTCATGCTTTAAGATAGTTTCTTCATCTCCTCCCATTCTTAATTTTTTTCAAAATCTTCTTCCTATTTCAAAAGCTTCTTGTTTTCAAACTTCACCTCTTTCTTAATAAACATTGACTTTGCCAAGTGATCCAGAAAATATTTTTCTCAATAAATGCTAAAACACTTGAGCATATTCAAACACATTTCAAAATTCTAAAAAACACCAACATCATCAAACTCTTT